ATTCCTACATTTGTTTTTGAGTAATTAGACTCAAGTCCTTTGGGGCTCAGTTTACAACTGAGATGATGAAGCATTTTGCAAAAATAAATAGAGCAGACTTAAATATAACTTTTGCTTTTTCTGATTCACTAATGGAGATTAATCCTCAGAACTGTGGATGCTTTAAATCCATGTCTCTCCGTACCTTGGAGAGATTAACAGCAGTCCACCGGGGGAGAGTTCACATCAGTGCCGGGGATCTACCGAGAGGCTGCTAAATGGTTCATGGAAGCCTCCAGCATCAGTATGGAAACCAAATTCAAGCAGAGACCTTCAAAGACAGTCAGACAAATGGCCTGTGGCAGAGACTCTTACATCCCACATAAAGAGCTTCTCTAAATTCAGCTGAGGGTCAGTAGTGGAGCGCTGTTAGATTTAAGGTAGTGTGTTTGATGTTAATGAGCCGCAAAGTTTTTAGGCTAGGAGAGAAATTAGTCTTTCTTCTAAGATCTAATTTAAGCAGACGGATGTACAGAAGTTTGCTAGTTACTCCACAAGGGACCTAAATGAGTCAGACATTATTTTGAAACAAATTATTTGATGCAAAAAAGTGTAATATGAATGTTAAGCTTAGTGCAGTATTACTCTGTCCAAGGAAAAACAAGGAGGCATGGCTTGTTAACGGGAAGTGTGTGTGTCCACTCTTCATGCAAAAGTGTTGCTTTAAATAGTATAGCAGTACCTTTATGCACAGAATAGTCCATTTACAGTTTGCATATCTGGACCTCAGGCAGCACACATTAATGATGACATCTGATGACACAGAGGTCGATGGTTCAATAGGCCGCCTGAGACGAAAGCATCAAATCAGTGTTCGTCATTGACTTGATAAGACAAAAGCAATCACCGCTGTGCATCTCTCTAATGAAATAAAACAGAAAAATGCAGGATCCTATTTAGAGCAGTGAGCGAATGCTTGTTTGTTGTAACAAGGGCTTCATCAAGACACTGTCACAGCTGGCATGATGGAGTAACATGATCGTTGGCCCCATCTGGATGTGTAAAGGGCTCGGAGTGAGAGCCATAGGGTTACAAATACAAACCTTGGTTTGTAAACCAAATTAACTATCTACAATCCCCGGTAAAGGTACCCACATTTATCTCACATTTATCTCATTGCAACCTCAGACTTCTGGGTATTTGAATGGGGTTTTAAGTGACCAACTCAAAAAGTGCATCATTTCATATTCATTTTTTGAAAAATAGCTCAAGCTCAGTCAGATTGGATGGAAAGTCTCTGTTAAGAATCCAATTATATTTTAAATCTTGGCTTTAACTGATCTAAATAGCCACGTCTTCATAGCTTTACAGTCACGACAAATTCCTTCTGTTTTCAGTGTATTCAGTAAGCATCTGTGAGATCTTGAAAGCTCAGAATATTGTTTTACAACCTAATGATGTAGGTTTTTTTTTTGTTTGTTTGTCTTGAATTTCTTCCTAACCTGTTTGGTGCTTTTTCAGTCATCTTGTTCGTGTCTGCTCACAAATAGTCACTAATATTAAGGGCAGTTGCTTAGATTTTATTTTATTTAGAGGAGTCAGAATGTGAATATGCACCACACCTTTTAGGAACAGCAAACAATGCATATGTTGTCCTTTGCACTACTTTGTGTCTAAGTACCAGTTTGTTGGGGTAACATGTCAAAATATGGAGGAGTTTAAGGGAGACGAAAACTTTCTCAAGGTACTGCAAATGTAGAAAGCAGAAAACAGTGACTAATAGGAAAACGTGACATAAAAACACAGAATACTTCTTTCAGGGTATTACTTCAACATTTTCTTCCCCACTTGCTGTCACTGTTCACTCTGATTTGTCCTTTTGAAGAATTACTCCAGTTCTAATGGCTGTTTTCATGTACCTTCTTCATGATGGAGGAGGCTGTGGAGTTGAACAGCTTAAGTGCAGCAGTTCATTGAAATTCATGTGGGAAGAGCCTGGAAAAGAGTTCGGATGAGGGCCAATTTCACCATATAAATAAACAGCGCAGAGTGAGAAAGTATGAGAGCTCCGGTGTTATTTTTGATTCTACTGCTTCTGTTTTTTCTCGGAAACACGGAACATCAAGACTGGGCAGAGACTGAGGCATAGCAGCAAAAGCTGAGAGAGACATGAGGTAACACTTTAGGTTCACGCTGAGTGTGAATGTGGTAGTACCATCAGCTGCAAATGTAAAAGCTAAACTGTCGTGTTTTAAAGTTGGTCATATTTTCACCTGCATTGTGACTATTTCTAAATGTCTTCATAAAAGGCTTCTTGAAAGTGTTTCCTCTCTGCATAATAAAAAATGCATGCAATATGGGAAAATGTCAATGTGACTTTCAGGCTTTAGTGCAGCAGTACTTCAGAAAGGCTTTACAAAAGTACACCTGTAGTTCCAGTGGTCATGCTTTTGGGATTTTATGATCTCTTTGAACCATTCTTTCTCTAATAATACTGAAGTCTAATAATACTGAATTTTGGATTGAATTTATTATGAATATCAAACCAGAACTTCTGCTTTTGCCTTTTCAGATCATCGCACAAATTTGAAAACATAACCTGAGTTAATACAAAAAGTTGTTTCCAAAATGATTATTTCATTTCTTAAAGAATAGATATTCAAACCAATCTGACTTTGTAAGAAAAAGTAATATCTCTCCCTAACTGTTGGTAAACCTTTAATTAACTGGAAGCGGAGTTCAAGTTCAGTAGCCACACTGGACTGACTAGTCCCAGAACTGTAGGATCACGAAATAATCAAAATAGAATGACTGCATGAAATAGGCTCCACAAACCAATCCAATAGAGCAGAAATGTTGAATTGGAGCATCTGTTATTCACAAAACGTTTGTCATCCATGTTCTCTTGGTAATCACAGACACCAGAGATTACAAAATTTGTCTCAATCAGTTTACTAAAAGCTCAAATGCCAGTTCTGTAATTTCTTTAGCCTTTAACTTTTACCTCTAAGTTGCTTAATGTATACTTTCTAAACTTTTTTAGATCACAATGAATCTTATATCCTTTATCAAAAGCTCCAGACCAATGGCTTCTCCTGTGTTTTGATTTGTTTCTTTGATTTGAGGAGCTCTGGTGTAATCACAGTTTTCCACTCACCATGAACATTCTTAAAGTTTGCGTGCAGCATTTCGCACATTGTTCAGAATCATCTTGGCACATATACAACATAGAATAAGTTACCCTTTGAGCAACACCATGATGAAGTGTGCAATGAACACCGACTGTTAAAGTATGTGAAAGCAGCCCAAATCTCACAAACCAAAATAAAGAATTCAAGAACAGGTAAGAAACGAGGTCAGTGACACCCATCAGTCTGGAAAGTTTTAGAAAGCGGTCTGGGTCTCACAAAACCCACAGTGAGAGCCATTATCCACAAAAGATAAGGAAGATTACCTTGCAGGAACATCTAACTGCGTCAAGGTTTCAACAATCTGACCCAAACTTTCACCGTTAGATGAAGGAGAATTGGTTTTAAAGTTGAGGAACGATACAATAACCACCAAAACTACAGGGAATTGAGCACAAGAGACTGCTGAACACACTGGTGTCACTGTCCAAATGAGGGACGGTTTCAGATAACATTGGACTGAGAAAATTGGAAGCTTAAAGGTGGACAAGAATTTTAGTTATCATAACATACTATCTAACAATATTATTGTATTTAAAGTAGTCAGAGTGAAGACTTCAAATCTCACCACACTCAAGCTGCCAGTCCATCACAGGGAAAAACAGAGGCCCACAGGACAAACAACCTTACACAACCACACTTGAAGTTGAGGACAATTTAGAGAGAGCAGTTCACCCACCGGTGATATTTTTGGACTGTCGGAGAAACCAAGAGTAAGAAGCAGTGCATGAACAGAGAGAACACACAAACTCAACACAGAAGGAGCCCAGTCTGGAATTCAAACAAGTTAAGAAAACCAATTACTTTTTTTTTTTTTTTTACTGTAATTGTATCTCCTTTTTGATTTAACAATTATTTCAAACTGCAAACAGTTTTGTTCAAAAAAGCTGAAAAAGTTTGGAAACTAACTAACCACAAAAATAGTTTGGATTTCTAAGTGAATAAAACTTGACTCTCATCACACTTTGCTACTAATGCATACCAGAAGAAGAATGTATAAAAAGACCTCAGAAGACTTTGCTACACATGGTATGGCATAATGTTGCAGATAATATCTTATTTCTATTCACAGCTACGCTCTCTTTCATCTATTCTTCAACTTTGAGTTCAACGACAAATCTGAACTCTCTGTTGCCTTTGCTCCATTAGAAATGCGTATATCTGAACCTAAAGGAACCTATCCCTGTTTCAGGAAAGACTTGATTCCACAACAATATGAATAGCTGCAGCTTTACTTAAACCAATATATGCATAGTTTGTGTAGGTTAATTATATATATTAATAAGGTGAACTGAAAAAGTATTCATGTGTCCCCTGAATCCCTTTCGTTTTCCCCAATAGTCAATTCAAAACAATTTTCAACTGATTATTGAAATGATTTTTAATAGTCAAATGTATAAATAAAAAAGGAAAAGTGTGGCATAAGCAAAACATCACCATTTTCTATTGCACCTGACTGAGCTTGCTATTTACACATTTTTATCCATACATGTGCAACAGTGGAAGAGACATACCCCAAAAGACATCAAGCTGTACAACCAAGCGCTCTCCAGTAATAATCAATAAATAAATAGTCTTCTAAATTGAGAGAGATGGACAACAGTGACCCCTGGCGGACATGGAGATATGTGCAAGTGCAAGGTTCCGGAAGTAAAATTAAACAGTGAGAAAGAAACACAGTTGCGAAATTGCACGGTCGATTGAAAATAAACGTTCTTTATTAAAAAAATTATTTTTCAATCAAGAGCATTTATGACGGCATGGCATTAATAATGACTGAAACTTAAACGAACTTGCTCAGGGAAAACTGTTGCTTAGCAACCAGTCGTCAAACAATCGCTCGCGTGGACCACAGAACAAGAAAAAGAACTGAAAGCTTTAAGATACCTTAAAAAAAACAAGTTTTGTGTTTTGATTTGCCATCAGTTTGATATTTTTATATCATTTCCTGTAAATACCGCTTCATCCACAAATGGCAGGGAAGAAGAAAGAGGCAAGCCTGCAGGTTGGATAGAGACCAAACAGTTTTTGTTGGTGTCACTACCTTCATTAGTCCTTAATTTGTACATTTGTTGTTCAGGCATCAGTTATGAACCAAGAACAATGGGAGGAAATACTTACTACCAAAGGTTTGACAGGTGAGCTGTAAAATGTTGCTTGTGGTTGTTTATCACATATACATAACACTCAGTTAAACAGCAGAGCTGCTTAAATCTATATCGTTGGGGGCGGAAAGTAACTAATTACAGTTGCTCAAATTACTATAATTAAGCACAGTTAGTATGTACTTGTACTTTTGAAAGTTGTTTAAAAATCTTTAATGTACAGTTTTAACGAGGTGCTTTTTTCCATTGTGCACCAGTTTGTTTGTGTACTCGTTCCACCTTGGCTGATACAGATGCCCAGTTATTCGTTGTGTTATGCTGCCCCCTTGTGTTCTTGGGCATAACGGCAGACAGAATCTTTTAAGTTTTTGTCTCAAGTACAGAGAAGGACAAAATAAGTTCACAGCCCTGGTAAAGACATCTAGAAAGTCTTCAGTGAATGAATTAATCATGAATTAAAGTGTCATTGATTCACACTGACGTTTTTTGGGGAAAAGTACGTTTTGATGTGAGGCAAAGGTTCCCGTGTTAATAAATTATTGTTTATTTTCACAAAACTACAGATTTTCTGAGAAATTCTAATTATTATCTTCCTGCAAAAATAAATGAATCTAGTTTTATCCTTTGGCATCAGAAAGTTTTCCCATCTCCTTGTAGTGGTGGATGTTTACCAGCAGTGGTGCGGCCCCTGTCGAGCAGTGGTTAGTCTCCTCCGAAAGATAAAGAACGAACTCAGTGATGACCTACTTCATTTTGCCACAGTGAGCTGTGCTTTAGTTTCAAAATGCATATCTTTAAAACTTGAAGGCGACACTAGCAGAGGAGCATCGGTTCATCTGTTTGTGTTTGTGTGACACAGGCTGAAGCCGACAGTATTGATGCCCTGGAGAAGTATCGAGGAAAATGTGAACCCACCTTCCTTTTCTTTGGAGTCAGTCTACGACTTCTGTTTGCATGCTTAATATTTACACATTTTTATGAATTTTTTTAAAGTTCTACATAATTCAATTTCATTTGGACTTCATTTCACAATGTTTTTTCTATTTTTTCCATTCTACAAATTGGCTCACCAAATATGACATTTTTGCTGTCCCAGTTTATATTTTCACTTTTCCCAGATCAGAATCACTAATTACTGTGTGTCCTGATTCAACTCAACAGAGTTATACTTATTTACTTAAGTCTGTGGAGGTCTTATATTTGAACTGAAAGTGCTGAATGGCTGGGTTTGTGTTGCATGAACAGGGTGGGGAGTTGGTGGCTGTGCTGCGAGGGGCCAACGCTCCGATGCTCCAGAGGATGATTGTGGAGGAGCTGGCCAAGGAAAAGCTGGTCATGGAGCAAGGCAGTGGACGCAAAGTGGTGAGCAGTGGCACAATGACATGCACCTGCCCTGCTGCTTGAAGATGATCTTATTTTAGAGCTTTAAAAAACTATAAATCATGTTGGGGGGTTTTTCCCCCTGCAGTTTCAAAGTGATTGCTTTTTGTTGTTGTTTATGAGCAACGGGAGAATCAGATGAGCATTGCTTTTGTGATTTACATAAACATAATTAAAAGTTGTGTTTTAAGGTGAAGGATTTTGGTCTGTTGGATGAAGAGAAGAGAGAGGAGGAGGATCTTCAGCAGCCACAAAATGAAGAAAGTATAATTGGTATTGTGAAAGCAATGCTTTGTACAGTTAATCTCTGTAGCTTCCAGTCCTGTGGTGACATTTTTAACTTTGTACAGTTTTGAATCTTAATAGCAATAATGACCGCCTCTCAAACTCTTCTCTGTTTCCGAGAAGTTCCTGCCAGTAAATCCTACACAGTTGCCATCATTAAGCCTGACGCAGTTGCTCATGGCAAGGCAAATGAGATCATTATGAAGGTACATAGAGATTAACCATGTTCACACTCCAGAGAAGGCAAGATTTTCTCAAGTCCTCCTGCTGGCATTCATCCATTCTGTTGATGCTTCTCCTTCTGGATAGATTCAAGACGCTGGGTTTGAGATTCTTGCACACCAGGAGCGCATGATGACTGAAATGGAGGCTCGAGATTTTTACCAACATAAAGCAGCGGAGGTATGCTATAACGGCACAAATTACGAGGACAGTGCAGCGTATGATGAGAAAAGCACATACAGCATCGCTCATAGCAAAATCATGTTAAGCCGAGAAAAACTGATGATGGTGCAGTGGATGTTTGTGTGGTGGGGGGAATAAATATTCTAAATCAACATGCGAATGGGAGCGTGAAAAAAAATACATTTGACACCCATCTGCGTTCCCTCACGGCTTAAAATAAAGCTGCTGAGTAAGCAATTTTTCGATTGCTTATTGTGCTGTTTGCTACAAGACTCACCCAAGCAACATATATATATATAGATATATATATATATACATATATATCTATATATATATATGTGTGTGTATATATATATATATATATATATATATATATATATATATATATATATATATATATATATATATATATATATATATATATATAAAAGCAGGTAAAGGAGAAATTCTTCAACAAATTAGAATCAGCATGAGTTTTTCTATCAAATGAGCCATCAAGAGAGGCTGGGAGTATCCATACAATGACTTGGAAACACTTTCATACTCTACTCACATTTTGTTTTGATAGATTCATAAGCCTTAGTTTTGATTTAATGTAATATACTAACACAAAGAAGCAAATGGTTGTGAAAAAAATTTAAAGAATAGTTTCTAAAGGTTTCACACATAAAAAGGTAGAATTATGGCCTCTTCATACTTTTTTAAACCATCTTTTGCTTTTCCTGCAGTTACAGCAGCAAGTCTTAAGGCATATATCTCCACTTGTTCTGCACATCTATATAATAAAAGATTGTTCTTTTCAAAATAATTGAAGTGAGAGTGGATGGAAATTATCAAGCCTTGCAACAGATTCTCATTTAAAAGTAGGTCTGCCGTTTAAGCAGGCTGTTCTGACACACATGTATGCTTTGATTCTAAACCATTCTAGTCACTAGCGGAACAAATTAGCGTCGGACCAGAGGGGGCCCCCGCCTACTCCAGCCTCATCAGACGTGATAAAGGGTTGGATCCCTGAAGTCATATTCTGCCCCTGGTTCCAGCCGGTTGCAGACACTGGAATCCAGATTCCAGTGTCGCTCTTATTGTATATATCAGCCTTACTGAAAGGTGAACTTCAATCCAACCAGTCTAAACTGTTTTCAGTCTCTAACTCGTTTTCCTCTAGAACTGCCCTGGGTTGAACTCCAAACATCAACTCTGACAGCTTTTCTTACCCTGCTGCAGAAAAAAACAATCCTTGCAACAGATTCTCATACTGAGGCATAATACTGCCACCACTATGCCTCAGTATTAGGATGTAGTGTTTACCTAGAACACAGTTTCTGTTTGCTATTTCCTTTCTATAATCTGTGGTGAACTACATAATGGTCAGATTTGTGGAATGGACAATGAATGACTCCTGTCCATAGATTCTCCCAACTGCGAATCTCTGCAGCTCCTCCAGAGTTTCCACCAGCCTCTGGATTTCAGTAAAGTTCATTATTATTTTGGGTTGTAAATTTACAAAATGTTGCAAGATTCAAGGGGCAGAAATAGTTTTGCAAGCTTCCTTAACGAGTCTATTCTTGTTTATCCTGCTTTCTTTCAGGCTTGCTTTGAGGACTTGGTGCAGTTCATGTCCAGCGGTCCCTCCCATATTCTGGTGCTTTCTCAGATAGACAGCATGGCCAACATCATACCCGCATGGCGTGAGTTCATTGGCCCACCAGACATAGAGGAAGCCAGGAGAGAAAAGCCCGAAAGGTCAGTAGAAAGAAATTCCAAATGTTGCACACTTGAAGAAAAAGAACAGAGAACAAAGCAACTTAATCTTCGGTTTGGTGAAAAATGTCATGCATGCATTTATTTCTGCACTGTTGAGCAGCATAACTGGAAAGGATCCCAGTTCTGGGTCTGGAGTAGGGAGCGAACAGCACATTCTCGCCTGCTTGATCAGACACACCCAAACATTATGCTTCTCTTTGGTTGAGCACCAGCAGAGCATCCATCTGGTCCTCTCTTCCTCCTCCCCCACCCGACTTCCTGCAGCTTGCGGGCACAATACGGCACAGAGACACTGTTCAACGCAGTGCATGGCAGTGCGGACAGCGACCAGGCCAGCAGGGAGCTCGCCTTCTTCTTCCCCAACTTTAGGACGGCCTCCGATGCAGAGCAGGATGGGGAGGAAGAGCGTGTGGAGAGGACGCTGGCTCTCATCCGGCCCGACGTTGCCAGGGAGAACAGAGGTGGGGCTCAAGCCAAAGGCACAAGCACAAATCCTCCTGAGTGGGAGCGCAAGCACATGCACAATCACTGTTCTTCTTAATATTATAGGGCTGTGATTAATTATCATTGCAGAGGGTTTGAGTCACTCCATCTTTTGTCCCCTAACCAAATCAACACGGATGGAGCTACATTTGCTATCACTACAGGGATTCTTGTTATTTTGCAGATGAGATTTTGGCCCAGATTCACAAGTCAGGTTTCACAGTCGCCCTCCAAAAAGAGGTGATGTTGACCGAGGAGCAGGTCAAACAATTTTACTTCCAACATGTGGATAAAGACTACTTTCCTGCACTTATGCAAAACATGACAAGGTAAATTTGACATGTGCTGCTGTGAATCTAAATATGAGAATGCAGACATTTATTCACCATCTCTGTGATTACAGTGGGCCTGTACTGGCGTTAGCTCTGGCCAGGAAAGGAGCTGTCCATCACTGGAAGAACATCCTCAGTTCTCCTGACCTTCACAAAACCAAAGAAGAGGATCCTGAGTGGTGAGTCACACGTTCCTCTCCTCATTCAGCTGCTGAAAAGAGAGCAAAGGGTCACTGCGGTATAATTTTCTGCAGAAATGCGGTGCACGTCTGAAGGTGAATCTGTGTGACAGCTTGTTAAATAAAGCTCCTCTTTTCACCTTCCTGTTTCACAATTTTTAGGTTTTGATAACAAGATGAAAGACTGGCATCCTTTATCCGCTGCTCTAAAATCACACAAGAAAAAAGAAATCAGATGCATAATAACTTCATTTCCAACAGCAGCGCTATTACACCACAAAATATTTTTTGTATTATTATTGTGTCTTTTCCTGCCTGCAAAAGCTTCTGTGGCTTTTCTAAGGACGTTTTATTAAAATGTGAAAATTACCAGATGGCAAAGTGGCAGGATGGTCAGATGTGAACAGAAAACACAGAAAATGACTCAAATTTGCTCACCAAAAAGGTCTGACTCCTGAAATTACATTTGAATTACCCCATTTCCTCTGGAAAATTCTCGAAACCATCAAGTGTTTATTATTCTGCCTGGATGAAAGCTAACTTTCTGGTCAATCTTGCATTGACTTTCAATAGTATTCAGACATCTTTAACTTTTTCTCACATTACAGAAACATAAACCATACATTTGTATTCAGCTCTATTAAATCCGCTACACGTAAATAATTATTTTCAGTCAAATGCTGTAATAAGTCACATATTTAGTAAAAAATTAAGTTACACACGGTGAAGGCAGGCCCCTGAGGCAAAATGTTTGGACACCACTGCTCTGCATCCAGTCTGACAAAAACCTGGGAAAACCATGTATGCCTTTTCTTCCAGTTGGACTACTTTGTGTTTGTCAGTCTAAATAATATTATTACTGTGCACTACATACAATAGAATCCTCTGTCTCCTTCTATATTGTCTGAGGGCCAAATTTGGTGTGAAAAACGAGCTCATCAACCAGCTTCATGGCAGCGCAAATCCTGAAGAGGCAAAAAGAGAGCTGAACTTTTTCTTTCCTCAACAACGGACGCTGGCAGTCATCAAACCCGATGCTATGGAGGAACACCGAGGTTCTCCTTTATCTTCCAGTACAACTGAGCAAGTCTGACTTTCTTTTTGTTTCATTGATCTTATTTCTTATTTTCTCAATGCTGACAGATACGATTTTGGAAGAGATTCAGGGGAGAGGCTTCACCGTGGCGCAGCTGAAGGAGACTGTGCTGTCAAGAGAGATGGCTGAGGAGTTTTACAAGGAGCACAGGGAGAAGCCATTCTTCACGCAGCTGGTGGATTTTATGTGTCGGTTGGTTTGTCCCCCCCACACATGAACACAGGAGCAAGGCAAACAGACCAGCTCCTTTTTCCACAGCCAGTCTCATCTTCAATTTATACTGTGATATTGGAAGCTTAGAGTCAAGGCAGCCTGGGGCCACAGGCTTGAAAGTAAATCTCAGTTTCATTCTTTGTTCAACATTACATCCAGTCTCTAAACTTATCTTCCGCTGTGATTAGTCCCTTCACCAGGTTGTTAGAGTGCTGGCAGACGAGCCACTTAGATTGTGAGCTGATATGAGCTTAGATTGTGTTCTTGTTCCTGAGATTAAGTCAAAGAGAGTAACATACTCCTAGCATCAGCTGAATTGTTAGAGGGAGGCGGCTGTGCTTTAAAGGGCAACCTCTCCCTATAGCGAATTTCTCAGCAGCTCTTTAGCAGCTTATTTCAGGGAGCTGAGTTTCAGGAACTGAACTCGTCTGATTAGATAAGATGGAATGAAAATGTCATTGTGTTAAAACTAAAAATTCTATATCATGTTCAAATTGCTTTCATGTAAAACGGCAAAGGTAAAATAAAGCTGGATTTAGTCAGTTTACAAGCAAACCTGCTTATTGCTCCTGCTCTGGCATTCGTGAAGTAACACAGTTAAGCTGATATTAGCTTGGTTATCAGTAGCCAGTCAGCAGTCATACGGCACATGACTCACTAAATGCAGTCCAAGAAAAAACATCACCTTTACTAGAAGTGATGACTGATGCTCCATCGGTTTCCATACCATAACCGTTGTATTTTTGTGAAACTTTTCCAAAAAACTAAACATTTCTTTCTATGGAAGGGAAAAGTGCAGCTACATTTTTAGCCAACGCACTGACAGGCAAAGGGTCTGCAGTGATTTACTTTTCTGTCCTCCATACAGTCAGAAAAATGCTTGTTATTTGGCTTTTGCAGTCTTGAGATTGTAACTTTTACAAAACTTTTGTGTACTCCATGCATGACTCATGCCTTGTAGTGAGCAAAGTTTGCAGTAATAATTTGAAATCAATAAATCCTAATCTGAACCAAAAGCCACAGAAATCCTCCACTTGCATTTGGTCCTTTCTAAGCTTATTTAACTGCAAAGCACAGCTGCTTGAGAAAGTTATCATGCAATTACAGAGCGACAAATTAATTTTGTTGCTCCACATTCTTTTATATTTAGTATAAAATAATTAAATCAGCTGTCCTATATTCATTTCAAAGTTCCCTTTAATGTTTTTTCAGGTGATTTTTAAATTTTTCTGAAGATGATTTTCACTCATTATCACTTCAAAGTTGTTGCAAACAAACAATTTTTTCCTGTTTTAATGAGTAAATCTTTGAAAAATACCAACCATAACAATTTGACAGACAGCAAATAGTGTTTTATCACTGAGAAAGAGTTTTTTGGACAGAAACATCTAATGCAGAACCTGAAGAATATTCTCACATGTCCTTTGGCAGGTCTTGCAATTTTTTGGTTTTGCTCTTGTTTTTTTTTTTAAATTAAATAAATAAAAACATGACTTTCAGATGCTTCAATTCTGCTGTGGATAGTTCTTGTGTTAGTGAACACTTCTCCTTTTGTCCTATTTCTCTCCTTAGCTAAGCTTTTTACTAGTCACTATACAATCTGCAGGGATTTAGGGCAATCAACAAAAACTCAATCTGAAGTCCAACAAAAATATTTGAAAGATCATCAAAAAGTCTTTACAAAGACCACTTATGAAGATCATAAAATGAGGTGGCTTATTAGAAGTAAATCAATACCAAAACAATGTCTGTTGAAAAAACAAATAAATTACAGCTTATGTTCAGATCTATAAAGATATGATGATAACACATGTGTAGAATGCTGGATCAAAAATCATATTTCCCAATATTTTGTCCTTTCCACAAATATGTTCTCTCTGTTTGTTTCAGTGGGCCCTGCATGATGCTCGTCCTGACCAAGGAGAATGCAGTGGAGGAGTGGCGGGCCATGATGGGCCCCAGCGATCCAGAGAAAGCTAAAGAAATCTCCCCACAGTCTCTGAGGGCCCGCTTTGCTGCCAACATCCTCCACAACTCAGTTCACGGTTCCTCCAACGAGCAGCACGCAGAGGAAAAGATCCGATTTGTCTTTGGTGACATCAGCGCAGACGCAGCTCCAAATGCTGACAGCGAAACCAGCAGAACCACCTCAGGTATCCTGATCGTTTGTCTTCTTTTTTTTTTTTTTATCTATAGCGTCACATTGTTTCGTGCAGGCAAACATTCACACTTCTTTTGTCGTGCATGTCATTTTTATGATAGCAAGACATATTTCCGTCAGGAATGTTTTCATTGATTAAAATATGTTTCTGTGAGTTTAAATTTACAAGAATTTTTACATTTTTGTAAATTTCAGCTGAATGGCCGGGCGGTTCTGGAGATGAAAACAAAGAAATATCAAGATCTACAACTGAAGAAACCTCTAATATCTAGGGTCAGCATGAGGTTTCTGTAATCAGGGGATTAAATGATCATGTCTCAAAAGTGGTTTAGCATGTGTAGTGGTGTAAAAAGTTGAAATAAAATGGGAATCCACAAAGAAAATGGATATGCATCATTAGTCTTTTTTTCTTTCCTTATTGAAATGACATTGTTTTTTTTTTTTTGTACCTTTTCTCAACACTCATATGCTACTTCACATCTACCATCACTCTAAAATATTAAATTTGTGCCCACAAGGTAGAAAATAACTTTATGAAAAAAAAAAAACTAGCCATCTCTCAGTTTGTCGTATAATTAAGAAAGTAGAGTTAACGGGAACAGCCAGGACTTTAAGGTCTTGATTACTAAAAACATTTCCAAGCCAAGTCGCCCAGGGAATGTCGACAAACAAGACTGGTCAGACTGTAAATGATATACAAGATCATTTACAAATTCTTTAAAAAGAAATGAGAAATTATATTGATGGACTTCATTAAATTAATTGGAAAAAAAAACAATGGGCAGCTGTCTTACAAGACAAAGAAAGAAGTCTTATATCTCAGCATAATGACTTTAAATACAATAAAAATCAAACTCCTATATCATCTACAGACTGTGGTCCTTTACCTACCAGAAGTATACACATAATCTAAAATCTGTGTTAAGGAGTCAATGCAGGACAGCACTTCTCCTTTTCACAGGAGGCTTGGATAAAAAATAACTGAAAGGTTTTCAGCTGGCAACATAAAGCTCCACAAGCAGACAAGCTGTCATACTTACTAAAAGGCTGCTGCTGCTGCAGTAAGTACACAGTGTACAGGGTACCCACATTTGGCATCAGGGCATTTCAGTTTATATTTTGAAATGGAAAAAGGATGAACAGAAAATATTTCCTTCACGTAAACTGTGCAATGTCCCTCTAAACATAAGGAGCGCTTTAGAGGAAACTGATTTTATTTGCCATCATAATGTCACAAGCAGCATCCAGAGAAGCTCTAATTGAACAAAGTGAAACTAACATGTTGGTCCTCTGACGATATAGACCTGGAAGGAAAACACTTACAAGTCAAATAATTGACTGACATCTCCATTTATTTGTTGCAGGAAAATCTTCACATTAAATAGCTAATGTGTCTTTGAATATGACCTTTCTTACTTGTTTGCTTTTAAATCCCAGTCACCTCCCATTACAAAGAACAGCTCAATTCAAGGAAATCAGGCCACTTTCTCTTATAATTATGATGTATCATGGGAACACAGAGGGTTTCAATCCAGGAATAGGGATGAAAAAACAGCCAAACCATCACATTTTACACCATCAGTCGGTGGTGTCTGTGTTATATTGAGGAACTGCAGCGTTCCTGGTTTAACAATAATTTCTAGTATTTCCGTGCCACTGGAAATACTTGTCTTTAACTATGAGTTAAAGACAACACAGTTTCGATTAAATGTTTAAATACAACTGCCTGTCCTAACTTTTAAGGTTTATTTGAGCCATCCTCTTTCAGCACATTCTCAAATTGAATTGATATTCTTTAGCGAAATGCATCTATAAGATACAATTCTGGATGGATATTTGACCACTCTTCAAATCAGTAATAGTAGAACTCATTTAGTTTAATTTCCTAGCACTGTTCAAACATTTTTAAAATCATTGAGGTTGACAATCAAATGACTAAGCCAAAGAACATCTGAATTTCACTCCTTCAAGTGAAATTAATTACTGACCAACCCTGAGGAAGTAATTCAATTTTAGACACACTGGAGTTTTATTTAGGCATTTCCTTTAATCGTAGAACACATACATTTGAAATAAGATCAACTCTAGTGTATTTCACATTTGCAAAAGAGCTGAAACATTTAACTTGAATCATGATAGAACAGGAGCTAGGTCAGGTTCCAGTGAAGGAATAAACAGTTTCGTAATTTACAGCAGTTTTCCCGGACTTCATCTGGTGAAGAAATCTTTCATTGTCTTTTTGTTGGGATCTTTGCTAAAACTAGTGCCAGTGCAGTGTGGAGAAGGCGCCGCTTCTGGTGGCGCGTCCTTCCAGTTGTTTGCAGCCTCCATTAGGATGGCCTCATCAAAGTCGTCTTCCTCAGAGAAAGATCTCTGGAACATCTCCATGATGCTCTTCTGATTCGGGTCCTGGCCGAATAAAAGATATAAGGATCATCCTATGTTTTTTCAGAAGTGAAATGTGATTTATTTGAAATTGGAGTAATTTAACAAAACAATGCAATTGTTGTTTATGTTCATATAAAACCTACCTTTAAGTGGAAGCTTTCATTCTCAGCTTTGTCCAAAAGGTTGGATTCAGACAGACCCACCTCTTTCAACACATTCATTTTAGCCTGAATCATTGGCCTGGATCAGTACATAAATAATTAGATTACAGCACCACTTTACCTCGCACCCCTCTACTGCTAAAGTTTTGATTTAGTATCTGACAAATGTGTAAACGTTACTAACAAGAGAGAATATTTTCTGAATTTACATAATACTTCCACCCAATTAAGACGTACCACAGATGATCATCAGCAGTTCCTTTGGCAACCAGGTAATGAATGTCGACATTGCTAGTCTGTCCAATACGATGAACCCTGTCCTCTGCCTGAATGAGAACCTGCAGGAAACAGACAACATTTCCATTGATCTGCAGGCTTTTCAGCTTCATCTGCTGCTACAAGTCAACAATCTGCTGACGACAACTGAACTAAAGTCATTATTGGTGCAGGTAAACCTTGCAGCTGGATTTTCTACAATTCAAGCTTGTTAACTAAAAAGGTACAGAATGAGTTTTACCAACTTGAGCTGTACGCCAACAGAAAAGCATCTGCAAAACTTCCCAGTGGTCAGAAAACTTTTCCATAGCTGATGGATACAAGCCTCTTGGACAAACAGAACCTTAACATTTCTCAGACATATTGATTCAACATATTAATATTCAATTATTAAGATGTTGTTTGTCTTTTTTCATTCTGTCTGAATAAAACTAATCCATTAATCAGAGCGATTTTGGGATGTTTCTAACAAGTGATCACTGATGTCCCTTTTTCCTTAATCTCCTGCCTGGCATCTTGGGTTCACATTTTCTCATTTATTTATTACATAATAATGGCCACGTATTGATCTATTGATCTGTTAGGGGAGCATTTATACGTTTTATAGCCACGAGGCAACAAAGCTTTGGAAAATATGGCACAAACAGAGATATACACATCCATACAAAGCAGAGATTGCAGCGCTTCCTTTAGAGCACAACCAGTCAATGCGGTATATTTGAGTCAGCTGTTAGAAATGTCTGGCTGTGATGCCTTACCCCTGGGTTCCAGAAAAGCTCAGCAAAGATCACCAGATCTGCAGAGTGCAGCGTAAGACCCATGTTAGCTGCAGTGACGGACAACACAGCCACGCAGGACTTGGAGGAAAACTGAAACTTTTCACACAGCTGCTGCCGCTCTGCTGAAGGAGTCGCCCCATCGATGCGAATGAAGCTGACGTTCTGTTGAAAAGTTAAAAGCTCTTTGGAATACTCGTTTGCACCTTTTCTAACAGTACAACCCTAAAACAATCAACTTAGTATACAATTATTAAGTGAAATGTAAAACTAGAGACAGTTTTCAAAACATTTGTAAGTAATTTAATCTCATAGGAATGCAAAGGTACGCCACACTTTTTACATTTTGAAACTTTTTAGAGATGAAACATAAAATCTTTATTTTAAAAAAATGTGGAATTGGTATGTGAAAGAAATGTACCTTTTTAAGCAGTTCGGTGGTGATGTGATCCAGGACTAATTTGTGGTGGGCAAACACGAGAAACTTCTCCCTGCCACACTCCAGCATGTCTGTGATATATTCCCTGGCCGTGACGGAGCAACACAGAGCCGTTTAACAGAGATATATAGGAATATCTGAGTACAAAGTCTTCATCCCATCTGTAATCCACTTTGATCTCATTGTTCTGACAAATGATCTCGTTTCATTTTTACATTTTTATCTCCACACCCATCAAACGAGCTCTGATCTGACTCCCTGATCTCCAACATTAAGGGCGACTGTACTCACATAATGGCCTGCAGCTTGGCTTCAGCTGTATGGTTGTAGAAGATGAGCAAAGCCTCCTTCTCTTCCATTTTCTGAGAAAAAAAAATAGATAAGGAACAGCAGAAGATAAGAAATGACAGGATTCTGTTTGATGATTTGATACGACTGCCATTACTGTGATGAGCACTGTGATTATGCACAATCATGCTCAGCAACTGGCCCCCATTAGAGTGAAATAAGGCTCGACTGGAGCACTCCTCGCTGTTTAAAGCCACTTCTGTGTTTGAAGCTTGAAGCGACTCCCTCATGCACAGAGAACAAAACTCAAACAGCCGTTTTCCCTGCCTAAAGAAACCACTGAACTTCATGCTTCTTTTAGTCGCAGACTTTAGATTTTAATACTGCCACATCAGCATCACATTTTACTCATGAGACAATTAGAACTGGAAATATTCAAGGACAATGAAACTTGGATTTTTCATTTAAATATGTTGTATATGGATGCAATGAATAAAGACATAAGGTCTGACCTATTAGCTTTGATTTGAGGTCATCACTCTAAACAAAAAAATTTTTCCACAAATGACTGTTTCTATTATGTTTACAGTAACTCCTTATTGCATTGCTAAATTTAATTTACTGATTAGAAAACATCAATTGATTCATGATACAAGCTCAGATACTTTGTTGTGCACATCTTATCACATTACAACCACAAACATCAAAGTGTATCACTGGGTTTTTACATAACTGACAAACACAACGGAGGTTCCTTTTCTTTTGTTTTTATTGAATAAAAATCTGAAAACGGTGTTTCCTGAGTACAGACATATTCCAGCACGTTTTTCAAGCAAAAATAATAATGGAGCCTTTCCCACTTCCATTTTCATCCTTGCTTATAAATAAATAATATGATAATCAAGTATTTTTCTTAACCTGGCAGAAAAATCTTGGGGTTCATTTCAAAAGAAAAGCTCAACATGACAGTTATGACTTACATTGCGATGATTTTTGGTCAGCTGTTTGGCTGCAGCCGAGAGGGCAGCTTTCATACTGCCGCTGA